GCTGAGCTTGTCACCGTTCGCCTCCGCTTTGTCACCGCTCGCTTTTGGGTCGACGAAGCGCGCAAAAGCGGCCCAGTTCCCGAGCTCCGGAGTACTTCGTTCTTCGCAGGGTTTTCCGCGGCCCGACAGCCCGCTGAGGACCTGGCTTGGAGCGCGACAGCCCGCCGAGGTTTCGGCCTGCGGCCCGTCAGCCGCCGAGCTTGTCACCACTGATGTCACCGCTCCGTCTGGCTCCGTTTTTGGTGCAAAAAGCGCTCAAAACGGTCAACTCCGAAAAGTTCGTTTTTCGTGTCAGACGGCAAGTGGGATGCCTGAGCCTCAAGTTTCGCTCGTTTTCGGTCGAAAGCAGGTCACTTTGCTCAGGATTCCGCTTTCAGCCCGGAAAACAGGCCATCCCGCCAAGCTTGCACCGCTCTCTTTGGGGCCGAAAAGGACTTTGCTCCTCACCGAGGTCGGATTTCCGACTTCGCCCCCCACCGAGGTCGGATTTCCGGAAGAGGCCGTGCAGGACGTCCGGCCCGCCAACGGCATGAACGACGCCACGCAGCCCCAGCGCTTCACGCTGCGCATGCCTGAAGTGCAAGCAGCCGCGCCTCCTCGCAATCGTTCCGCGTCCAGGCGCAGGCCAATCATACGCCGCGCCCCTTCTCCTGGGGCCTGAACCCTGTGACTCTGCCTCAGTCCCGGGCAAGCTCTCGCAGCTCCGGACAGTCACGCCAGAGCCGCCTGCCTCCGCCGAGCTACGATCAGCTGGCCCGAGACATCGAGGCGGCCTAGACTCTCCTTCGCCGTACAAGTGAAAATGCGTGTTGCGCTACATGTAAAGAAGCATGGCGGTAGTCACAGCCGGAGCACAGGATGAGTTGATGCAGAGCCTGGACTACAAGCTGAAAACCAGCAACACAGTATTTCCCCAGCTCGCTGAGCTCCTTCTCCCCCGCCACCTCGAGGGTCTGCCGCATTCCGCTGACCAGCGGTACGTCATTCATCGACCCCGAGTCGATCAAGATCGCCTTCAGAGTCAGAAACACGGACGCCACAAACCGCTGGCGCCGGCCACTCCAAACCCCGCCTGTTTCATCCAGAGGATCCAGATCTTCGCCAACGGCCAGCGCTGCGACGACATTAACTACTACGGCCACACCGTGGCCGTGCATGACCTGCTGAAGGGCCGCGAGTACAACCAGAACAAGGCCGTGGAGGGCGTCGACGAGGTAAACAACTCTCGGACGCCCCGCACAGTGCACCAGAGCAGCTACGCGGACGTGCTGCTGCGCCCCACCATGGTGGGCATCCTGCGCTGCGGCAAGATGCTGCCGCCGCAGCTGAACCTGGTGATAGAAATCGAGTTCGCAGACGTGACGACTGCGCTGTGGTCCGAGAACGCCGGGGCGCACCCGGCGGGAGCCACGCTGAGCACCGACTTCGAGATCCAGAACGTCCGAGTTCTGGCCTCCCAGGTCGTCCTGGACCCCACGGTGCACACGCAGCAGTCCACGGTGCCGCGGAGCACAACGTCACCGTCGCGCGCGCCTTCACGACACTGATGGGACGTAACCTTCTGGGACAACGACGCGGGCTCTAAGATCCACTTGCTGGCCAACCCGGGCAGGACGTGGCCCCCATCGGCGCGGCCAGGCAGGAAGACAGTCTCCTGGAGTCGCAGATGCAGCTGGGAAGCCTGCAGTACCCGCACAACCCTATGAAGGGAGCCTCGGAGCACTTCCACTTCCTCTCGGTCCTTGCGGGGACCTACGACGACACGGCGCGCAACATCGACATCGACCGCGCGGGCTATGCGCCACAGCTTCATCGCGGGCTTCCCGACAGAGCGCGTGCCCAAGATGCCCCTGAGCGGCGTCAGCACCCGTTCGGGCGACCTGGCTCGGCTCACTTTCAAGGCGCTCGACGGCACGATGACGGACGTGTTCATCCACCTGATAGCCTATCAGCTGGTGACGCTCTCTGGCACAGGGGTCTCTGTGCTGGACTAGCATGGATCCATAGCTCAATCGGAAGAGGCGCTGCAGCTCTGAAGCTTGGAGACCGCGGGCTCGATTCCACCCGGGCGCGGATCTTTTTTTTTTACTTGGCGAGCGCCTTTGGGAATTCTTTTTCTCCCTCGACCCAAGACGGATCTCCGAGACGGATCTTTCCGCCTCCAACCCAGTGACCGCCTCTCCTGAGCCCAGTGACCGCCTCTCCTGGGAATAAGAATTAAACCCAGGTCCGAGACGGAGCCCAGTGAGCGCCTCCTGGGAATGAGAAATTTCCGAGATGGATCTTTCCGAGACGGATCTTTCCACCCCCAGCCCAGTGAGCGCCTCATTGGAAAATCCCAAGACGGATCTTTCCACCCCCAGCCCAGTGAGCGCCTCTCCTGAGAATAAGAATGACGGCCTCAAGACGGTGGTGGACCAGCACTCCCTAGACATAGCGGCGAGGATCACGCCGCTGGAGGTAGACACCAAGGTGGCCAACGCTCTCCTGGGGGCCGTCACCGCCGCAGCGCTGGCCTCCGAGCTCGCAAGCCGAGACGCCTCCATCTCGGGGCTGCAGGCCTCCACCGGGACGCCAGCATCACGGCGCTCCAGGGGGCCAAGGCCGACGCGACGCTGCTGGCCTCGTACGCCACGAACGCCGCGCTCTCAGCCAGCGAGACCACGCTCCAGAGCGCCCTCGACGCAATCCTCGCGGAGCTCGCCGCCCTGCAGCTTTCCGGCAGCGCCGGAGTTGTTAACGTCGTTCGCAACCTGCATCTGGAGGCTCCTCTCTCTGCTGCGCTGGCCAACGGCGACGACACGCTGAGCATCACGGCAGACTGTTACTCCGTCGCAGCGGCGGACGCGGCCCTCGCGGCTGCGCTGCTGGCCTACTACACCTCCGCGCAAGTGGACGCGCTGTTGGGAGACTACCGGACGGGCACGGCGCAGGACGCGGAGACGATCAGCGCCATCTCGGCCGCGCTGCTGGCCTACTACACCTCGGCGCAAGCGCGCAGGACACGCAGACACAGGCCGCCATCGCAGGCGCGCTGCTGGCCTACCACACAGGCCCGGACCAGGACGTTTTCACAACCAACCAAATCACCTCGGCGCTGGCGGCGTACCGCTCGCCGACCAGGACACGGCAACGGCCTCAAGCATCGCCGCCGCCCTGCTCAGCTACTACACCATCGCGCAAGTGGACGGTTTGTTGGCCGACAAGCTCGGCGTCACGGAGGCAGCCTCTGCCCTGCAAATAGCCGTGCGCTTTCCGGACGACGGAGGGGCCGACGAGGTGGTGGCCGCCATAGGAGAGCAGATCCTGGGCCCCACGGACGTCTTGCTGTCAAACTGGACGGTTCGCCCCAGCAGCGGCTGCAGCGTGGCCCTGGCCACCCACACCGCGGGCGCAGTGAGCGTGGACGGCTACACCCTGACTCTGGCGGTGAACCCCTGGAACATCGTGCGCACCTACAACTTGACCCCCGGCCAAGAGCTCCTCTTCGCCTGCCGGTACCGGGTGTACATGTCCGAGGCCGACAACGTCTACGACCCCCTGTACGGCAGCTTCGCGGGAGACCAGGGCGCCTGGAGCACGGCCAAGATGTACTTCACCGTGCCGCCAAACGGAGTTGCGAAGCTGCACTTTGGGGCGCACTTCCAGGCGCCGGGCCTGCCCAACCAGACGGCTGGAACGGTGGACGTCTACGGCCTCCAGATCCTGGACGCAACCCTGGAGGCCGGCAACACAGCGGAGGAGGACACGGCGGCCTCGGCGCTGCTGCTGAAGCACGAGTTCCTCGACGGAGGGGCCGACGACGTCACGCTGGCCACCTGGGCGAGGTGCTGCTGGAACCCACGCTCACCACGCTAGGAAATTTCCTGGTGCGCTCCAACAGCCAGAGCTCCGTGGCCTCGGCCAGCTTCGCGGTGGGAGGCTTCCAGCTGGAGGGCAACGCCATGACCCTGAGCGCCTTCGCCTGGAACATCGTGCGCACCTACACGCTGACGCCGGGGAGACGCTACTCCTTCGGCTGCCGGTACCGGCTGGGCACGGCCTCCAACTTGGTGATGTACGTCAGCGCGGCCGACAACGACTACGTGGGCGTCACCGGCACCTTCCTCGGCACGGCCTCGCAGGGTGTCTGGAGCACGGCGCGCCTGGACTTTTCAGTGCCGCCGGGCGGAGTTGCAAAGCTGCACTTCGGAGCCTTCGGCGGGTCGATCCCCGGGCTGGTGCAGCAGTCGGCGGGCACGCTGGACCTGTACAGCATGCAGATCAGGGCCAGCGCCTTCGAGGGAGAGTCGGTCTCCGTGACGGACCTGCTGGCCGACTCGCTGGCCCTCACGGCTGAACTGGCAATTGTTCATGTTTTTAAAGTTTTTTTTGCATTTTGCATTTTTCCAGTTTTTCGCGGGCATTTGTTGCTCGATTTATGTCGCTGAGGTTGACTTTAGAGAAGTTAATTGTTTGGGTTTCAAGTTGTTTTTCGGTGGGAAGGGGGGGGGGGGGGCAGGACGGGACAATAATAATGCGCCTGTGTGCCCATTGTTGCGAAAGGCTTGATTCCTGCAGCATCGTTTTTCGCTGGCTGCTCGCCTTCGGAGAGTCGGAACGGAATTGTTTTTTTTTCATCTCGTTTGTTGTTTGAGGGCTCGGTGGCTTGCCCCGCCCCACCCCCCCTCCTCCCAAGCCCATCAATGATTGACGTTGTTGCGTTTGCTTGCGCGGGTTCGGTGGCTTGCCCCGCCCGGCCCCCTTAAACACATCCTTTCGCTGGTTTTGGCGGCATGCCCCATCCAGCAATAGGGTGCCCAGCTCCCCCTTCCTCCAAAGTGAAGCCCGCCAACGATTGAAGTTGTTGCATGTGCTTGTGCTTGCGGGTTCGGTGGCTTGCCCCGCCCGGCCCCTACGCCTTCTGCAAGCAAGAGGGAAGGCGTCTCAGGGCAAAAGAGTCTCACAGGAAAGCTGTGAGCTGACGAACGGACATGCGTGATGCGACGCAAGAGCCGCCCAAGTCGTATGTTTCTTGCGGATCATATTTTTCAAGCGGATAGAGGTGTTTTTGCAGAGCAGATATGCTTGTTGCGGTGTGCGCTTGCGGGTTCGGTGGCTTGCCCCGCCCGGCGCCCACAATGACTTACGCTGGTTTCGGTGGCATGCCCCATCCAGCAGTAAGGATTCAGAAGGGGCGCTTCTGAAACCGCCCATTTCCGGAAGCGTTCTCAGAAAGGCTTTCGTGTGTAAGGGCGGCTCGAAAAACAAGACTTTCGTGGGAAGTCTGCCTGCAAGTCTTGTTTGGTTTTTTGAAATTTCGGCTCTGACATGTTGAACTGCCCGTAGAAGGGAAATAGCGTGAGAAAGTCTACCAATGGCACGGGGGCCTGCTCGCAAAAAAGGCAGCGCAGTGAAGCAGCTTTGCTCCTACAAGAAGTGCAGAGCCAAAAAGGACGTGAAGAACAAGTGCCACACAGCTCGCCGTGAGGAAGTGGATCTTGAGCAATGTCGGCCCTTAAGAAGCCACTGTCAGACTGTAAAGTTCTGTGGTCAAACGCATTTAGACGCCTGCCTATCAAAAAAGAAAAAAGCTCCACCCGTTGGAAGGGAAGCTCTGGACACGCAGCAACTGGCCAGTCTTTTTCAAACCTTGGTGGAGCTAGGCCGTGGCCACAAACAAAAAAAGGTCCTGCGGGCTGCGTGGGGCTTGTCTTTGTTTACAAACTTCAGGTTCGGAAAGACTTGCAGCGTGCCCGTGTCCATGTCTGCCAAATCGCAGTATAGCTGAGCAAAAGCTTCGTGCTCCGACGACAAGAGCTGTCCCGCCAGCTGCTCGTCGGCTGCTGCGTCGGCGTTGAACACCTCACAACGCGCCCAAGCCACTGCTGAAACGCAACTGCGTCCAGCTGGGGACAAGCCACCTGAGCTGGCACAGTTGGCTTCAGGCAGTCCTTGAATTCTTCTGCGCCAGCAAAAGGGGTGGCCAAATCATGAAGCAAATGCACAACAGCCGTGGCAACTCCGACCGCAGAGAAGTCATGAAGCTTCCGTGCGCCAAGAAGCATGTGCTGAGGACGCAAATCCTCTGCGCGCGTTTGCCCTCGCAAGACAAGGATCGTCTTTGAGCAGTCCGAGCGCACAGTGACGCAGGAGGCAGCGTTGAGCGTTTGTCGCGCGCGAGCCCGCAGCGACTCGGCCAAGCAAAACTTGAGCTTCTGGGCTCGGCGGCGAAGGATCTTGCCGCCGGGCCAGGCAATCCCATCATCACCGCCATCTTTTTCCCTTGCGTGTAGCTCGCAGAACTGCGATGAACTCTTCGAGAGATGGGGCCATCAGACGCAGTCGGATGTCTTCATTTGATGCTGCGGCCTGGTGCCTTTTGGTTTTCTCATGGTCTCGGAAGTGGCTGACCAGCAATGAAGCAATGGTTCGAAACTCCGCTGACACATGCCCAGCAGCTTTGCAGGCAGCACAGCTGACGGAGAAGTCGCCTGTGTCCCACTGCACAGCCTCCAGCCACGGGAACTGCTCGGTCCACCGCCTGCGACGCCAGCATCACGGCGCTCCAGGGGGCCAAGGCCGACGCGACGCTGCTGGCCTCGTACGCCACGAACGCCGCGCTCTCAGCCAGCGAGACCACGCTCCAGAGCGCCCTTGACGCAATCCTTGCGGAGCTCGCTGCCCTGCGGCTTTCGCGGCCCTTGCGGCTGCGCTGCTGGCCTACTACACCTCCTCGCAAGCGGACGCGTTGTTATTGCTCGACTATCGAACGAGCACGGCGCAGGACGCCGAAACGACCGGCGCCATATCGACTGCGCTGCTGGCCTACTACACCTCGACGCAAGTGGACGCCCTGTTGGCCGACTACCGCACGGCAAGCGCGCAGGACACGCAGACGCAGGCCGCCATCGCAGGCGCGCTGCTGGCCTACCGGACGGGCCCGGACCAGGACGTCTTCACAAACAACCAAATCACCTCAGCGCTGGTGGCGTACCGCTCGGCCGCCGACCAGGACACGGCAACGGCCTCGAGCATCGCAGCTGCCCTGCTCAGCTACTACACCATCGCACAGGTGGACAGCCTCCTTGCGGGCAAGCTCGGCGTCATCTGCAAATAGCCGTGCGCTTTCCGGACGGAGGGGCCGACGAGGTGGTGGCCGCCATAGGAGAGCAGATCCTGGGCCCCACGGACGTCTCGCTGTCAAACTGGACGGTTCGCCCTAGCAGCGGCTGCTGCAGCGACGCACACCGCGGGCGCAGCGAGCGTGGACGGCAACACTCTGATTCTGGCGGTGAACCGCTGGAACATCGTGCGCACCTACAACTTGACGCCAGGCCGAGAGCTCCTCTTCGCCTGCCGGTACCGGCTCAACTTCGTGGCGCACATGTCCGAGGCCGACAACGTCTACGACCCCCTGTACGGCAGCTTCGTGGGTGACCAGGGCGCCTGGAGCACGGCCAAGATGTACTTCACAGTGCCTCCGAACGGAGTTGCGAAGCTGCACTTCGGGGCGCACTTCCAGGCACCGGGCCTGCCCAACCAGACGGCTGGAACGGTGGACGTCTACGGCCTCCAGATCCTGGATGCAGCGACGGCCTCAGCCCTGCTGCTGAAGCACGAGTTCCTCGACGGAGGGGCCGACGACGTCACGCTGGCCACCCTGGGCGAAGTGCTGCTGGAGCCCACGCTCACCACATTAGGCAATTTTCTGGCGCGCTCCAACAGGGCAGAGGCTTCCAGTTGGAGGGCTACGCCATGACCCTGCCTTCGCCTGGAACATCGTGCGCACCTACGGGGAGATGCTACTCCTTCGGCTGCCGGTACAGGCTGGGCACGGCCTCCAACTTGGTGATGTACGTCAGCGCGGCCGACAACGACTACGTGGGCGTCACCGGCACCTTCCTCGGCACACCCTGCGAGGGCGGTGTCGCCTCCGCGGGTCCGCTGGACTGCGAGAGCCTGGGCTGCACCTTCACGGCACGAGCGGCGGAGTGTCGACGGGCAGCGTGGTCTGCGGCGACGTGACGAGCTCGGGCACGGTCTCCGCACCGCAGCTCTTACCGTGAACTTCTTGACGAAGAACTGGGCGGGCTGGAGCAAGCTGCAGATCTCCAACAACAGCGCGGCGTCCGACAGCGGTCCGGAGCTGCGGCTGCTGGGCAGCCAGAGCGCGCGGGTCTTCCTGGAGCGGGACGGCGGGGCGCACCAGTGCAAGATCATGATCAACGACGAGGCGTTGGCACAGACGAAGAGCCTCTCGACGCAGCTGTCCTTGACCACGAACCAGACGAACCCCGGCTGCCTCGTAATCGCAAGCAACACGGGCAACGTGGTCTGCAACACGAGCTTCATGAATTTGTCGGACAGCAGGTGAAGACAGTAGTAAGGAAAGGGGGCTTATAGTCCCCTAATTATTTGGGTTTTTTTGGTCCAAAAACCCTGCAAAAACTGCATAATTTTCAACCAGCTGAACTCGTCACCAGCGATGTCACCGCTTCGTCACCGCTCCGCTTTTGGTGCAAAAAGCGCTCAAAACGGCCAACTCCGACAAGTTCGTTTTTTCGTGTCAGACATCAACTTCGCTCGTTTTCGGTCGAAATCGGGCTCCAGACGTTCGCCGTGCTCTGTTCCGTTTTCTGCCCGGAAAAGCAGGCAAATTCCAGCCCGCTGAGCTTGTCACCGTTCGCCTCCGCTTTGTCACCGCTCGCTTTTGGGTCGAAAAAGTGCGCAAAAGCGGCCCAGTTCCCGAGTTCCGGAGTCGCAGGGTTTTCCGCGGCCCGACAGCCCGCCGAGGAGGGCCGAAAAGTGCGCAAAAGCGCCCAAGTTCCCGAGAGGACTTCTTTGTTGGCAAGTTTGAGTCAATAATGGCACGGGCTGATTTATTAATGGGGCAAGGTTGGTTCATCAATGCCCAGGTCATGAGACAAGGTAGCGCTTGAGTCTCCGAGGTGTCTCATGACCCGTGTCGCCCCATGACACAAGCTTTGTCCTGTAAGACTAGGCACACAATGCATAGCTTCGCCGGTCAATTCATCATAAGTGAAGGGTGCTTTCCCTCACTTCTTTTCAGACCAAGGTGTCCGACGCCGTTTTTGCTCGATTGGTCCATAGCGGCTCGTGGGGCGCTTGTGAGATGATATTTATTTATACGAACCAGCGCTACGAAGACCCCGAATGGTCCATAGCGACTCAAGGGGGCCGTTGCGAAAGTACAACACCCCATCGTTACGAATTCTTGTAACGACTACTCCTAAGAAAACATGTTTGAAGGACCTGTCACGGGCAACATCCCGGAGGTCCTGAACGCAGCCTGGATGACCGAGTCACCGCCGAGCTGGCCTCAAAGCTGGACAGCAGCGCGCTGGCACCGGCACTAGCCACGGCGGCGGCCCTGGCCGGACGGACAGGTGGCCGCGCACGGAAGCAGCATCGCAGCCTGGCTGTTGAGCGCGCCAGAAAATTATCCAGCGTGTAAGCGTGCTCCAGCGGCGTGATCCTCGCCGCTATGTCTAGGGAGTGCTGGTCCACCACCGTCTTGAGGCCGTAGTTGGCCGCCACCGTGGCCAGCGTGGCGTTGTTGGCCGGGGCGATGGAGCCGTTCATGGCCGCCATGGTGCTGTAGTTGGACAGCTTCAGATCCACGCCGTCCGGGGTGCTCTTCGTGGCCACCACGCCCCCCAGCACGTCGAAGGCCGACTGGTCTGCCTTGTTGGAGAGACCCGTGGTTAGCAAGCTCTGCAGCGCTGCGCCTGGAGGTGCGTGGCGTCGACGCCTCCCGGTCTTCCTGCGCTCCTTGCTGCGCCTGGTGGGGCGCAAGGTGGACAGGCGCTTCTACTTCAGGCACCTCCTGCCGGGCGCTCAGAGAGGCCGTGCCGGGCGTCGGGCTGCCTGCTCATACGTCCTGCTGCGCAACAGCTTCTCGGGAAAGTGGGGCTCCTTCGCACAGCAGCGGCCACTGACACTGAGCAGCGTGCGGCGTGTGCAGCGGCCTCCGATAAATGTGACCGTGCGGCGGCAGGACGCACTGGCCTATCTACGCGCTCTGCCCTGCCTGCCCGGCAGTGCATCTCTGTCAACCCTCCCTACATCTTCCCCGGTCGCACCATGAACTACTATGGCACGAGGAGGCGGGGGCATAACCTGGCCTTCCACTCGCAGCTCGGAGCTCCGAGACACGCTCTTCGCAAGCGGCCTGCCCTTTGTCCTGAGCATCAACGACGTGCCTGAGGCCTGGGAGCGTCAGCGCAGGAATGGGTGGAGCAATCCTGCGCCCGACGCAGGATTGAGTGGAGCAATCCTGTGCTCGGCGCAGGATTGAGTGGAGCAATCCTGTGCTGGCGACAGGATTGACTGAAAGGCGACTCTGCCAGCATCCTGGCGAGAAGCAGGCCGCTGACCTTCGGCGCTGCGGCAGTGGCCCACACCAGGCCCGCACCAGGCCCGCACCAGGGTTTTTCGGGCTGAAAACCAACTCGGCAGTGATGCGGCCCCCGTCGCATTGCCGACGGCAGGATTTTTCGGGCAAGAGCAAAGTCGGAATTCCGACCTCGGTGGGAGAGCGAAGTCGGAATTCCGACCTTGGTGGACTTTTAGACCGAAGCCGCGGAGCCGGCCTTGCTTTCAGACCGAAGCCGCGGAGCCGGCTCGCTAGCAGCTCCCTTGTCTTAGTGGTTGGAGCGCTGTCTCTGCACCACCCCTGGTCCGGGGCTCGATTCCCACCTGCGACCGGGCATTAATGAAACAACCTTGCCCATTAATGAATCAACCCGTTCCATTATTGACTCAAACTTGCCAAGAACGAAGTCCTCTGGAACTTGGCCGCTTTTGCGCAATCCTGAGCAAAGTGAGCGTCTGGAGCTCTCTCTTTAGAGGGCGTTTCCCAAATGGATTCTATTCTACCTGAGAGGCTCCCAGCACTCGTCCGTCCAGCATTTGACCTCGTCCTGCGAATGCAGGCGTGTGGCTGCAAAATAATGACCCCTAGATATGCTTGCAATTTGGCTCCAGGTTGCATTTCAAGCGAGCCAACCTTTGCAGGGCTAAGAAAAAACCAAAAAAAAAAAGAAAAAAAGGGGTCCCAAAAAAAGGGGTCCCCGAAAAAAAGGGAAAAGGGGTTTCCTTTGGCAAAGGTTGACATCGCTTGAAATGCAACCTGGAGCCAAATTGCGGCGCATATCGAGGGGTCATTATTTTGCAGCCACACGCCTGCACGCAGCGTTTTAGACTTCGAATCCTTCGCAGGACGAGGTCAAATGCTGGACGGACGAGTGCTGGGAGCCTCTCAGGTAGAATAGAATCCATTTGGAAAACGCCCTCTAAAGAGAGAGGCGAGGCACACGGAATCGGGTGGAATCGGGGCGTAATACTGAGAGAGCTTGTACACCGCAGGTCCGCCCGGGAACTTGGACATGGACAACTGCGGGCTGCCGTGTTACAAGCTCTCTCAGTCTTACGCCCCGATTCCAGGCAGGCCCCGATACCGTATGCCTCGCCCCGGCGGAAACCCGAACTTGGACAAGAACTTGGACAAGGAACTTGGACAAATTTTATCACGTGTTTTCCTCTTACAGAGCCACACACTGGACAAGTGGCTCGCAAGAGGAAAAACACGTTCAAAACTTGCCAAGTTTCTTGTCCAAGTTCGGGTTTCCGGCCTGGGCCAAGTTGGGGATCGGGGCCTGCAGGAAATCGGCGGGGCGTAATACTGAGAGAGCTTGTAACACGGCAGCCTGCAGTTGTCCAAGTTCCTTGTCCAAGTTCCCCGGGCGAACTTGGACAAGTGGCTCTGCAAGAGGAAAACACGTGATAAAATTCCAAGTTCCTTGCGCAAGTTCTTGTCCAAGTTCGGGTTTCCGCCCTGGGCCGACGAAAATCGGGTCTGCCCCGGAAACGGGGCGTAATACTGAGAGAGCTTGTAACACGGCAGCCCGCAGTTGTCCAAGTTCCTTGTCCAAGTTCCCCGGGCGAACTTGGACAAGTGGCTCAGCAAGAGGAAAACACGTGATAAAATTTGTCCAAGTTCCTTGTCCAAGTTCTTGTCCAAGTTCGGGTTTC